CAGTATTGCTGTTAAGTGTTCCTTTAAGCTAGTGAGCAGATGTATGCGGTAGGATTTCCATCCCAAACCATTCCGTGGTTCTGTGATCCTGTTATTTCAAACAGGCAAATATCCCTGTAACTTCACACCCTAGAGTAACCAGACTAAGATGAGATGTCCAAGAAAAAGGAAAAGAAAAAAAAAAAGGTAAAAATAATTCAGGCATCTCCACCTTTCCCTATTTTTCAGTAGTGAGCCAGTGCCTTCCTTCTGCATGGGGGCTCAAGCAGAGGACCTTAGTGATGTCTGAACAGGGCTCTACAAAGCAATGACACGAGGCAGCATCTTGATGAATCCATACCTGTCCTGCTGTTTTTGTTAGGAGGGACTGGCCTTCATTTACATCCCGAAATTTGCAGTATTTTTGCAGTTTACATCCCGAAATTTGCAGTATTTTTGCAGTTTTTCCAAGAGGATTAATTATTCGTTTTCTTCCTCAATAAATTGCTATTAAATAAATCTTACTGTATCTCCCCATTGCTGTTAGCACAGTTTGTAAACATATGGAAGAGAATAGACTGACCACTGCTTTAGGGTTTGCAAACCTTAAAGGAACCTGATACCTTGTCAAATGTCATCGGGTTTTGCCAGAGTGAAAATTTGTCCCTTAACACAATTAAATTTCTATTGCAATGTAGTTTCTCAGAAGAAATACTTTTGTGTCAACTACGTTAAGAAGACTGAAGTGTAAGGGAGCCTCTGTCCCACGTTTTGCAGCCGTAATTGACTGCAGATGTACCTTCTGCAGCAGTTTTTTCTAGCAGCTGGGACACGGGACTACACTGGGTCCATTCTTAGTTTATCTCAAATTGGGTTTCGTGAGCTTTGGCTGACACATGTTCCACTTCGTCTCATCTCCTTTAATCTACGAGAGCTGTTAAAATGTCACCTGGCACTCCCCTGTCCCAGCCAAACCACCAGCGGGAAGTAATAAACCCTTGTGAACGAAGCAGCTGGCTCAGAACCCTGGGGCTGAGCGTGCGGAGCTGTTAGTGCTGGAGCTGTCCTGGCTCTGCGTGCTTAGGTTTAACTGCTTCTCCAGGCCAGCACTCTTGGATATTTGAGGGTTTTTTGGCACTGCCCTTCAGCCGTGTTTCTGTCCTTGTCTCCTGTTATCCGGGTGACATCTCCATCCTCTTTGGGACAGGTTGTGTTCACTGTTTCTAATGCACAAAATCGACTAAAACTCTTTTCTGCCAGGTGCTGTCCCACAGTCTTCCCTAATCTTCAGCTGATGAAGGACAAGCTGTGCAAAGCAGCTCACCGAGTGTTTTAAATGGGTGTCTTGCAGGGTTCAGTGCTTTCCCAGGTGCTGCTTTCCGTTCTGCAATTAGTTCTGCAGCTTCCCCCCCAGAAGTGCTCTTAGGATTTAAGGGCATCAAGAGGCATCAGCTCAGCTCCGCATATTTTTCCAATTAAGAAAGCTTGAAGTGAAGAGAGAGCGCTCTTCACTTAAGTCCTTTTTAAATCTAAAGGAAACAAGCTCAGCTTGTCGAGCCCTGTCCTCGGGGGAGTCAGAGCATTTCTCTGTACGTGCACGTCCTTGCGTTACACCTCCACTTGGCTGCATGCTGAGTTCTTAAGAGGCTGTAAACTTTCTGAGAGCTTCGGGCCCAAGGGCCCAGGGGTGTATTCTGCCGGGTTTATCCCCTCGTCCACCCCCCTTCGCTTTGGGGCCCGCAGCTGAGCTCAGGCAGCTGTGACTCGCTCGGCTTTGCCGAGTTCTCCTCTTTGTTCCCCCGAATCTGCCGTGGTCGCAGCTGTCGGCCGAAGCTCCGCGCCCGTGGTAGCACCCGGGGCGTTCAGAGGATGCGCAGAACCTCAGAGCACAGCTTTTTGGGTCAGCTCCAGGGGTGAGTCCTCCTCCCAGGCGGGGATCGCAGCCTGCACCACCACCGCTGGCTTCGGCAGGTTGCTTTTGTGGTTACAAGGCAGCGTGAAAATTAAAACGTGAACAGGACACGAGACCGGGGAAAAGGAGCCCGCTTGGCTTCATGCGTCTGCTCCGCGCAGAACCTCAGGTTTCTGCAGGGACAGGCTTCAGAGAGGATGTGGTTTCTGTTCCATTCACGTGTCTGAGAACCAGCAGCAGCCAGGCATGTTTCGGTGCACGGGGTGCAAATGTTGAGCGGCACTTGGGTTTTCTTCGTGTGTAACAGCGACTGGTCTGGGAACTGGGAAATAGGAACTGGGATTTGGGAACTGGGAGCTGGAAATGGGAACTGGGAGCCAGGAGTTGGGAGCTGGGATTTGGGAGCTGCCCACGGACGTGAAGCTGCATCACTTGGTTCATGCTCCAGTCCCGGCCCTTCCTGCAGAGTAACAGCAAATCTCAGTGCTCCTGTTTTTTTCATGTCCTTAACCATTTTCTTTACTTTCCTGAAGCCTGTCAAACTCTGTAATATTTTTTTTTGATGTTATGTGATCAGCAATACAGCACGCAGGTGAGACAGCCAGCATAAACCCGCAGACACTGCATCTCTCCATCCTTACTCCTTGCATCACCTTGCAGGTCATTTTCAAATACCTGTCAGCCATCTCTCCTGAGCTGACAGGGTTAATTTGGATTACTACAGGTTCTTTCTGTAGCTTGTTTGTTTTCCTCCGAAAATGTACTTGCTTGCAGTCTACCCCTCAGCACTGAAATGCGCCCTGCTCAGCGCGTGACCTTGCAGAACATTTGTTAATTCCTTGCCTGATTAACGTTGGACTCCGTTCTTTCCTTCTATCCAGCATCAGAGTAAGGCCAATTCTGTGTTTTTTAAACAAGTGCCAAACAATTTTTAGAAACCTTTTTCAGGGGGCGTGTTGAACCTCTCTGGAAGTCTGAGAGACTCTCGGCAACAACCTCGCTTTTTTCCCCATTCCTCCTTATTGATGCATTAAAAGAATTCCTGCGAGTTTATGTTCTCATGAACTCTCCCCAGGTGTTACCAGGCTGTGGTCTTTCCAACACCTTTTTTTTTTTCTTCTTGAACTCTGATTTCAACCAGACTGAGAGACAAATGCGAGTTCACAAAGGCAGTAGAGGACAAGCGCGTCTCTGGAACCTTCTTTCTGCTGTTTTAAAGTACAGATATAACCTTTGCTTTCCAGGGCTCAGCTTTTTTTTTTCTTTCCCCTATTTAAGTGGTAATTATGCTTGCTGTTCAGCTGTGTCACCTTTATTATATACACCTATCCACCTGGATATGGCAATCTCATCAGTGACTTAAATTACTGTTTTTTTACTATGCGTGATGGCCTAGGAGTTATTTTTAATGGCATTTCAGCCTGATACAGCCTCATCTCCATTGCATGTGCCTTCTAGGAAACTTGCTGTTGACATTTCATTTTTATGCCACACATGCGAATTTTGCTTTGTATAATTTGCTGTTACTAATTAGTGCCTTATATTGCAATTGCTCTCTGGTGTTTGCAGAACCACAACACACCTTTCGTTAACGAAGAGCTGTTTTTATTATCTCTCACCTCCTTTCTGCTAGGAAGGGATCCTAGTTTAGCCTCGTGCAGGCTGCGTCTAATTGCTTCAGGAAGCAGTAGGTCAAGCAGTTAACGGGGAGCTATTTATTATCCCTTATCATTGGGGTCACACTTGTCTCTGGGATCAGACATTCTTTTGCACTTAGTTTTTTTTCCTTAATCTTCCAGCTGGCGTGATGATCTGTACTAATTTATGTGTAGATACATATACAGACCCCCAATTTGCTAACTTACGCTGCTTTTTTAACCTGCTGCTCCCACACCCCGTCAGTCTCACGGCTTTGGGGTTCATTACAGCCGTTATCTCACTGATATTCTTGCTGACACGGGTGGTGTCTGCTTTGTTACGGCCGTCACGCAGTTTGAGGCATTCCAACTCAGGTCATTTTGGTTTTTTTGGTCTTTTTTATTGCACTCTTTTCAGCCTCAGCAGCAAAACTGTTCACTGGCTGTAGCACACTGGGTGCCTGCCTTGTTATGTACGCACACGTGGGAGGTTAACCTGGCTGCTGGCCACTACAGGACGAGTTTGCCAAGGCAAGAGAGGGAACACCGTGATTCTGGCCTTGGGCACTGCCAGGGATGGGGCACCCCCAGCTCCTCGGGGCAGCCTGCTCAGGGCCTCGCTGCCCTCGGAGGGAAGGATTTCCTCCTGACACCAAAGGGCTTCCCTGGCTGGCCACGTACCCATCAGGGTAGCTGCCAGAGCAGAGCATTTTCAGTATCCTGTGCCAAAGAGGTATAACATAGCCACGTAACCAGTTGTGATCTGATTCCTATCCCTGGTTTCTTGGTTGTAAAGGGATGATACGGAAATCCAAATCATGGGAAACTTGCAGCCTTGCTTTAGGACTCCACATGGCGAGGAGCAGATTTATTTCCACTCTCTAGGCTCGTTCAGTGAGCGTATTTGTTCATGTACTGGCATATCCAGTATATTCCCGTATTTCTGTCTTAAGAAGGAGCGAGTGATAGTCATGTTCCACTTTGTTTCCGTGTCATTTCTCTTCCCACTCTTCCACGTGGTGCAGAGTTAATCTGGTCAGAAATGCCACCAGGCAGGCAGGTACCTGACCACGGGTCATTCCGGATGAAGATAACCATTATCTGTGTCTGTATTTTTATTTGGACTTCAGGTAGCTAAACCTGTGTGAGGCTGAAGCCTTTTCAGGCTGCAGTGTTGTTTGATAGCAGCTATTTGCATGATTAAAATAATGAAAAAGAAATGGACGAGAGGCGAAAGGTCTGAAGTCAGCCGTAGGAATTGCTGTTGGCTTTCCGAGGAAAACAGCTGCCTTGTGGATACAGGGCTAGGAAACAGAAATGATTCTTCTCTTACACAAGTCACACTTGCTAGAGGTGCAATTTTCATGAGCCTCGTGAGATGGTCTGAAATGGTGAGGACTGGCTAATGTGCTGCAGGCAAACGTATAAAGGTTGGGCTGCCCGGTGTGCTCATACGTATTTTTTTCTTGCAGTGTCATCTAGGCTGTCACAGACGTCCTCCCCCCAGTCCAGCTGCCCGTCACCTTCCATCCAAACAGGCAAAGTCATCTCCTCGTCCCAGAAGCACAGCAAGAAGGCGCTCAAACAGGTAAGCAGCACGGTCTGGAACCTCGTTTAGGGATTGTTGCAGTCATTTTATTTCTCTGGTAAATCATCTAAGTGGAACTGCACTCTGCGAGGAAGTAAGTCAGGATTTCCTGCCTGTCTCGTAGTAAACAGGGCTTTGTTAAAACATCCCTCTCTCCTAAAGGAGATTGAAAATACTGTGCTGTTTAGTGCTTTGCCTTTTCCCTAAAAAAGCAGCTGGAAATTTTGTTATTTTAGATAATGGATAGAAGACATTGTTTACTTTCACCCAACCTTTTGTTGAGCGTCCTTAGCTTTCGACAGCCTGTTTTAGAAAATGGAACAGCTTTTTGAGAAAAGAATTAAGTCCTCTGACTTCATCCCCTAATTAGGGGCGTACTTCCCCTTCCAAGGAATTCTGTGGGCAAAGTGTGTAGTTATTGAGGGATGAAGGGGAAGGATTGCACACTGACTTTGCACTGCACTTCTGCTGGGCATTGGGAGAGAAAGAGGAGGACTGGTTATTTTCCACGCTTGGGGAATGACTGTTCTGTAGGTAGTGTTTATTGCAGGCACTCAGGATGGAACGGGTAAGTGTTTGTACCTCAAATGATCTGTTTCTTTTAATGAAAAATGCAAGATGAATTAGTCCCCTGAGTTCCTTGTTTGCAGGTGTTTCCCCAGCTGCATGGTTTAGTTTTCCATGAGCCTTAGAAAGGAAATGCTTTAACAGGGTTAGATTTACTCCTCAGTCGAGTAAAATCTGTAAGGAGTTATGAATCAAGCTGCAGAGGAGGTGCTAGTCGAGGGATTACGGAAGCTTGTCACAGACTGATGAAATCAGGATGTGTTCCGGAGAGGATTTACCTCTACCAGCCCAGCCTGCTTTCTTGAATTTGCCAGCTGGGAAACAACGCTCAGAGTGGTATTCAGCTGTCAGAGATGCCTGCGGTGTTTGGAAAAGGATTTGCAGTGAGAGAGAAGGATCTAATTAGGGCATATTGTTGAGGAGAATATTACATGACAAGATAAGGAAACCGAATAAACTGGAGCTTTGTTTCCAGCGAGTTAGGCTGATGTCAAAATGAGATGTTCATTCCCTCAAAATGAGATGAGGGAATCTTTTCTCTTTCATTTTCCACTTTGCTGTTTCTCAGCAGAGGCAGCAATGTTACTATGGCATCGCTTGCTGCTGTTAGGTGAATTAAAGGCGTGAGATTGTGTTGTCACTTCAGGCAGATTTTCTGAAGTTAAGTCAAGCTTCTACTTTCATTTGAATCCTCAGAATGTTGCTTCTCACTGATTCAGCATGATATCAGCTATACTCTTTGCCATCCCTTCCTCATCCCTCTTTAAGCCTGGCTGGCAGTCATTTGTCTCCAACATCCACAAAGTCCTTTCTCTTTTAAGAGAGTGATCAAACTCATGTAGGGTTTGTTATAAACAGTCCTTTTTCCACTGTTGTGTTCAGCAGTTCCTCTTCATTTTCCCTGTTCTGTGGGCCCCTATTTCCAAACTCCATCTACTCCATCTCCTTTTCTTCTCTCCTCCCAGCCTGACATTACATGACATGAAAATTTTCCACTTTCTGTGTCCGAATTCCTTCTGCCCCTGTTACCACCAGCCTTCCTCACCTTTACATTTGCTCCTCTCTGCCTCTGCTCTCTCCCTTCTCCACTCCCCAGCTTTCATATTCCGAGATGTGTACATCCTGAGCATCCTTGTTCCAGCTCTGTCTCTGTATGTAGTAAAATATGTCAGAACCTATGAGTTCCAATCTTCAGACATCATTCTCCGTTTCACTGTTCAGAATCCAGGGAAAAAAAATCAGAAATCCAGAAAGAGAAATGGGGAAACAAATTGTGTCTGCATAGCATAGCATACCTGATTGTGTTTCACAGTTCCGCAGCTGTCTGTAGGTCCAAAAGCAGTTTCTGATGGTTAGCATCTAACATCACAGCAGCTCTTCTCCCTGAACTTTTCTGTCCCAGAGCACAGCATCAAGTTGTAGCATCGTGGTAACTTATCTTCAGGGCACAGAGGTGTTGCTGAATGGTCTGTAACCATTCAGACATTCTAACTTACCTGCCTAAAGTTTGCTCTGGCTTTGGGTCAAATGAAGATCATTGCATGCCCGATCCATTGCTTCATTTTGGTTCCAGTGGAATTCTGCCATTTTGACCAAATATCACACCCTCCACCTCTTCCTAAACAGGATTGCTCCTGTGGGCAGGAAAAGTCCTAAAAAACAATAGAATGAGTAAATGTTGAGAGCAGGAAGGAGACAGAAGTGTTATGAGTAGAGTAGTAGGAAAAACATAATTCTTGTTTCACTCAGTATCTTAAGGAAAGCGTTCTCATTTTTAATTACACCCGGCTTATTTGCTAGTGTGCACTGGAGGAGACAGCTGGCTGGATTCAGGCTCCTGTCTTAAGCACTAAGTAATTATCACTGGAGGGAAGAGAGCAGATTTGCAAGTGAGGACATTTAACCCTTGAGCACCACGCTGCTGCTATGCTGACGATAAGTATCAGGTCCTTTAAGGAAGAAGAAACAGGAATTAGTTCATAAGCAAATCAGAGATAAAACTGTAAAATACATGTAAATAGCACGGCGTGCAGTGGTGTGCCGACACCACGCAGCGCAGTAAGCGAGCAGATGGCTGTGTTCAGCACAAGCCACGTGTTCCTGCCAGTCCTTGTGAAAAGAATCTGGAGTTAGAGGTTTGCAATATCTGAATCCAAAGTGACAGAGGCAAGTCAGTGCTCATCCTGCTAGAATGATGAAACAGGCATGGGGAAAAGCTCCTTACAGGGATAGTTTGCTGATACAGGAAAAAAGTCACTGAGATTCTGAAATGTAGAGTCTGGATCCAGACTGGTGATTTCTGACCCTTTGATGGAAAATGCAGGAACCACCCTAATTCCTTCCTCTGGTCCTCTCCAACCCACTGACCCCATCTCCTCTCCTTACCTAGCTTGAGCAGCTGTCCCAAAGGCATCAGAACTCAGATATCATCGGGGTTTTGGAGACTAGGAGTCACAACCTCTGTTCTGATGAGGTTTATACTGTTGGCTGTTGTCTTCACCCATTTTTTTTTATCTGTTGTTGCCATGCACCCACAGAAGGAGTAAGGTCAGGGACCGGGGTGGGCTGTACCCTACAAAAGCTCTCGGTAGGTGAAGTCTTTGTTGCCTTTTGCGTGAAGAAGGGAGCAGCACAGCACAAACCTCTCCCCGTTAGGTGTGTCCCTGTACATTTTTACCATTGCTGTCAGAGGCCGTAAGCAGGTCCGGAGCAAGAGATGGGAGCATTGGACCAGCTCCTGGTCCCTGCTGCCATCCCTGGTGGCATCCGTAGTGGAGCTGACAGTGAGGAACGTGCTGCTGCTATAAGGTCTTTGATCAGTGACAATTCAAGGAGATGCTGCTGATACTGAACAAACTGTATGTTTATACTCAGCTTTGAGGCTGGCTACAAGTTGGAACTCATCGTGGTTTTATCCTGGCACCTTTCCTGTTAAATATCTTTTCTCAGTGTCCTGCAGGAGACGGGATGCAGAGGACACTGGTGATGCACTCAGGGGCATGGCTGCTGGTCAGCAGGGCCTGGACAAGCTGGAGGATCGGGCTGAAAGGAACTTCATGAAATTTAGTGAGGACTCAGACTAGTAAGGGGCAGGCTAACTCCTTGCCATAGCACCAAGAGCAGCTCTGCCGAAAAAGAGCTCACTGGTCTTGGTAGACACAAGCTGTAGGTGAAGCTTGCAGCGTGCCCCAGCAGCTTTTTGGGCTATTACAAACAGGAGGTGGAGGGGAGTGATGATATCTCTCTGCTGATTATCATCATTATTATCACTCATTATTCGACCTCTTCTAAAATGCTGCGTCCTGTTTTGGGGCCAACAGAAGCCAACGTTGAACTGGAGCACGTTTAGGGGATGCCATGGGATAGTGCTGGAGCAATGGGGCTCCTTCAGCCCAGAGGAGAGGAGGCAGAGGAGAAAACCAGACAGCAGGCTCCGTCTGCCCCCTGCAAGTACTTCTGAGGAGGTTATTGATGGAGCCAGCCTTGGCACAACAAGCCCTGAATTATTCTGTGATTAGGGCAGGACTCAATATGTAAAGATTTAATAATATATATTATATTATAATATATTATATATAATAATATAATATGTTAAATAATAAATATATATTAATAAATATATTATATTATATAATATAATATATATTATATTATAATATATTATATAATATATAATAATAATTTTTCTAATAATAACATTTAATATGTAAAGATTTATAAAGAACCAGAGATGATTCTAACAGAACATGAGTGTGAAGTTGATGTGGAGTTTAAAAAGAGATGTCTGATGGATAATTGTTTCCTTCTCTTCCCCCACTGGCGTGGGCACCTGAGACACTGCACAAGCGAGAGCTGTGGGGCCACAATGAACAGAAGCAGAATTGTTTTACCTAAGCTAAGGAAAAGGCAGCAGTCAAATGGCGTACAGAATAGGAGGTGAATTGAACATACAAAATCTTAAATATTTGAAGTGATTTGTGTAGTAGAAGTATGGGATTCACACAAACACTTGAGCATACTGGCGGTCTTCATACTCTTAATATTTTCCTGACAGTCACTGTTGCCTGCGGTTCATCTTCAAAAGAGAAAAGAGTTTGTCTTCAAATTGGAGAAGATTTTGTAAAAGCTTTCTTGAACTTGTTTAAAGATTTTTGTTTTAGTTGTAGGAATACCAGGTCTCTCCAATACCAGGTCTCTCTCTCTCTTGTTTTCCTTTTTTTTTTTTTTAGATCTTTTGACCTCGGTAACAGGATATTAATTGTGATAGCAGAGGATATTTCCTCTTAGCAATTTTCATGTTTTTTTCTCTTCAGTTATTATATTCTTATTTTCAGTTATTATATTCATATTGTATTAATATTCAGTGAATATTTTTTGCCCACGGTACAAGTGGCTAAATAGGAGCTATTTAGCAGATAGGAAAACAGAAATCTAACATGCCACTTTGTGACTTGTATCCTGTTGTTCGTCTTTCTCAAGTTGTGTCTGAAGGTCTGCCTTCTGTTTTCGTCACTAGGGCAGCTTCTCCAGACTCCTGCATATTTTTATTCTGACTCCTCGTTCAAACTGTATTTTATTATTATTTGAGTCCCACTCATTTGTATATATAACAGCATATTACTTTCTGTTACTTCCTATTTTGAAATTCAGGTGTATACTTTATCTGTTGCAATTTATTCTGTCAAATTTATTTGGGTTTTGAGTTCAGTTTTGGAAAGCAGACAGTTTGGTTTGGGTAAAAGCTGCAGTTTAACCAAATTGCCTTCTTACTTCCTTGTCTTAGTCATTTGTGTATTTTAGGCAGAACTACAGTTGCCTTAACAGTCTTTTCTGAAACAAAGGATGTCAGTGTTCTATTCTTTATTATTTTCCTAATTAAAAAAGTCTTTCTTACTAGGTATCGTCTCTGCTGAATGTTTTTAGTAAGTTGCTACTTGCTTCTCCAGGAGATGGAAATGAATTACTTTCTGGAACTTTTACTTTGAAGTTATTTATATAATTACTTCTTGAACCAACTCCAGATTTGGAATACTTTCTCTTTGCCTTCTCTAGAGATCATTTTTTCACGAAACACACAACTTAAGAAGTTCTGCAACCATTAGCTTTTTGCTTTAAGTGCAAAGGTAGGAAATGTCTCTACTTGTAGAACTGTATTTAAATAGACATTAGCAGTGTCCCCTGCAAACTGAATGTATTTCAGAAGTCATTTTAAGCTTTTGATGGACTTACAGATAGAACCCAGCTATTGTTTGCTGTAAAACAAGATGTTTAAACTGTGTATTAATAATTCCTAAGAACATTTTTAAGATCTATTTGCTCATGTTCTTCTGTCCTCTTCCCCAGGCCTTGAAACAGCAGCAGCAGAAGCAACAGCAGCAGCAATGCAGAGCAGGCATGCCCGTGTCGTCTAACCAGCATGTCCTCCTGAAGGCTGTCAAGGCAGCCAGTGACTCCGCACCTACAAAATCCGGTACGTGGCAGTGACATTCCTGTCTTTTCTTTTAAGGTCATTTTCTCTGCAACTTGCTTTTTCTCGTTCTTAGGGGAGGAGAGGAGAAAGTCCCCTTTCCATATGGTATTCTTTTGGTTTCTGAAATATTCCAGCTTCTTGTTCCCTGGCTTTGATTTTACGAGGAATGCATTCTGTTAGGAACAGATCGTGAATAGGTCTGGCTGTGCCATTGTCTAGTTAAAAAGCTTCTTTCTGTGACAAATGTCTTCCCCAATAGCTGCCTATACACTGTAGTCAGGTCCTTCTCATGGCTAGGCAAATTAGATGGTGTTCCTTTTTTGTATTTATTTCCCTTCAAACTGTCTTTTCATTCTGTAGTGTGGCTTTCGTGTCTTGTTCCAAAGATGTACGTTCTTGTCTGAAAGATCCTCAGGCGCCTTCCTGCATTTATGCTACGTTAGAAATTAAAGAGATCACTGCTTTTCTCTTGCTCATTCAACAACAAATTTGCTTCCTTACCAGCAGAAGGTTTTCACTAGTTACCATAAATTCTTTGTAGTTATTTCTAGACAGTTGCCTCCAAACTCTTCTCAGCGTAACTGCTCTTTCCAGGATGAGCTCCTGGTTCTGTAAACATGACTTAAGTTGTTTTCTCTTGGACGCAGCAAATGCTTCTGTGTTTGTATTGACTGATTAATACCAAAACCAAAACGCCGAAGGGCCTGGAGCCCCTGGGACAGCACTGCTGGGCCCAGGGGTGCCCGAGAAGGGGCCGGGGGCTGCTCCTGGGAGAGCTCCCCGAGCCCAGGACAAGGGGCTGGGCACCCTGCTGGGGCAGGGGGGGACAGGGAACCCAGGGGTGCCCCCAGCCAGCCTGGGGGGCTGGGATTCTGTGATTTACACATTGTACAATTAAATTACTTTATAGACCAAGTCCATAATTATTTTATCAATCCACAGTTTGTTGAGTCATCTGGAAACATTACCAGTAGTGCCTCTGTACCATCTCCCAGATGACCAATTGCTAGTTTGTTCATATTTAAGACAGAAACCAGAACAATGTGCATATAAAATCAGAGGCATTTGGCCTCTGTTCAGCACGCAGCACGAACAGGGTAGGCACGTGGCAGTGCCCTTGGAGAACTCCACAGGTTGTGCCTCAGACACCTTCCAAGCAGGAGGAGATGCCTTTGTATTTCATGGACTCACTGGCATTTTCTTCACTGCATTGCCTAATCTGGAGGACGAGTACGTTGACTCTGTAAATGCCTCATGGCAAATATTACAGTGTAAAAATATTTATTTTTTTTTGAGCCAGGCTCCTTATAACTTTAATTAATTCCATTTAATTTGAAAAAGGCAGTGAACAACTATTGTTTTTTTCAGCAACTTCTTGCCAATCATGACTTTAGTAGACGTCTCTTTCAGTTGGAATAACCCTACTGTTTTTTCTCATTGCTCATAAGGAAAGCTCTGTGCTTATGGAGGCTGAGAATGAAAACTACATGGTAATCAGGGTGCAGATGCGTTGTGAATTCGTATAGCATTTTGGCTATTCTAAATTTTGTTCTTTTTCTAATAATTCCTAGCGTTCCATTTACTTTTTTAGCCTCAACCAAAAGCAGACATTTTTCTAGAACTGCTGAAATTCTGAGACTCTTTCCCGAAATGTTATTTTCTATTTTAGGGCCAACACTGCGTATGTATGGTTAGAAGAGTTGTTCTTTTTGTACATCACTTCATGTTTCTGTGCAGTGAATCATGTCTGTCCTATCGCTCGTTTATTCACTGGCATGAAGGATTTCTGCAGCTATAGGGAGCGATGTGTGTGGGGACCTAAGTCAGGAGCACCGTTTTGGTACACATTTGGTGAATGTCGTGTGGAGCAGGGAGAGGCAGGAGCAGGATCAACAGCGTTGTGTACAAGGGGAAAAGAGGGTTCGCTTTTCGAGGCTGGGATCTCCACCAAAAAACAAGGATCTCCTCCTCTAGTTCCCAGTCCTACTGATTTTCATCCTACCTCACTGGCCTCTGCAACACATCCCGTCCTCATCTGAAGTCCCTGCACTTTTACACTAATTGTCATGGGTGAAATGCTGTGCTGTCAGACTCAGACCCTGCTGTGAGATGGCAGTTCCCTCCCCCTCGATGATTACCTCATTTTTTCCATCCTTCACCCTTGATCTTCTTGACTCATCTTGATTCGTCTCAGAAAGATGATGACCATAAAAATGATTCCACTGAGAAAAATGCAGCAAGAGTGCTCGCTGTAAAGGGTTTCTGCCAGGTGTCCCCACACAGATGACGTGGCTGAGCCTGGCAGTTGTGAAGCTTACCCCAAAATGGGAGAGAAAACGTTACACAAAAGATCACAACAAAATTGTATCTCCAATCTCAAATCCGAAGCTATTTTTAGTCTTCTTAAAAATGTCTTTTTGGCAAAGCCTGATAACCAGGGTAATACCAAACCATTTTCAAAAGAAGGAGGCTGTGCCTTTATTATTATTATAGCATCTGTTATCCTGATTCCAGTTCCAAACAGTCGGTCCTTCAGCCAACAAGCCTGTGCTTAGAACAAGAAGCAACTGCCTGTGGAGAAAGAAACTGCATCTCTGCATCTCTGCTAACCATTGCCAAAGTCCTGGGCACAAGAGCTGGAACTCAGTCCCTCCAGTCTGCTACATCCCCTGCCTGGTGCAGCCTTGGCTAGCAGTCAGGATGAGCTAGCAGTCTCTTAGGCAGTCCCTGCATGGTTTGGTGGTTAGCACAGGCCAAGCATCACTCCCAAAAAGCAATCAGTGCGGCCACCCTGCCTGGGGAGACAGAAAGCTTAAAGCTGTGAACACGGCCAGTGTGTGCCAGAATGTGGCCAGTGTGTGCCAGAACGTGGCCAGTGTGTGCCAGTCGTTCCAAGGGCCAGGGGGATGCCCAGTGACACCATTTAATTTACTGGCATAGAAGCAGCCACAGAGGATTACACAGCGATAAGGTAATAGCAGCATGAACAACACTTTGTTGTTGGACCTTCTCGGTGTGATTATATGAATGACACGTTTAGCTGAAATTCACTGGCTAGGTTAAAAACTTTGTAGTCATTGGAAACCTAGCCCCTCGAGAGCTCATCTAGTCCACATCCTCTCCTCGGGGCAGGATCTCGTGTGCATTCCTGACAGATGTTTTCTTCAGCCTGTTCTCAGAAACCCCACTGATGCAAAGGCCAAAAACTCCCAGCAAGTCTCACCCTTCCTGCTTTGTTAACTTTATCCTTAAATTGTTTTTATCGGCCGCCAATCAGAATCTTTTCTTGTTTTGGTTTAAAACCAAGATTTCCTGTCCTATCCACCGTGGACATGCAGATTATTTGATTTCTTCTCTCTACAGCCTTTTGCAAAATTGGAGATGTTTCCTCATCTCTTCCTGATTTTCTTTAGTATAAAATTCTTTCTGTGTTTTAGTGTGTTTGTTTATTCTCCCTTTCCAAATAGCCCTAAACAAATCCAAACCCAAACTAGACCAATCTGTCCTGGCTTGCTGGTTGTGTACTGCTGGAATGTTTCTTGTAACATCTGTTCAGACATATGAAGGTTGCAGCTATGCTCCATCCATCCATCCATTTGAAAGAAGCAGGCGTGCTTATCGACAGTACTGCATGCATCATTTCAAAGCAGAGTAAGGGAGGTGGGGACTGATGCTGTTGCCTGTTGTTCCCAGGCAGCTTTGTAGTTCAGATCCTTTCAGAAAAGCCCAGGGGAAAGCAGATAATCTCACTGTGCTTGTCTGAAAATCAGTCCTGAGCTGTGCTTGTGCCCCTCACACCTCAGCTGGTGTGGTGTGAAAAGGAAGTCAAAATCAATCTATTAGAAAATGACACATTTCCAGTGACTGTGTGAAGAAAATGTAGTGCCAGGTGTATAAAGCCTTTGGTAGAAAATGATAATTTAAAGGCCTTTTGCAGTTTCTCTGCTTATTAGGATTAAACCTGAATGCTTCATTAGCACAACTCTCAGTGCTGTTCCTGGAGGAGCACACATCTGAGCTCCCTGCCCCAGGAGGAATTGCATTTTCTCCTAGGGAAGTAGGAACAGGGGAGAAGTAAAAGGGCCCAGAGCAGCTGGGATACTCACATAACATTGTTAGCTAACATGGAGTCATTATTAAAATAGACTAAGTAGAGTAAGTAATCTAAATTCGTATTACATAGAGTGCTTACAGTGTTTTCTGTCTTAATTCTTTGTGGTCCTGGGAAGGCTTTTGCCATTCCTGCATATGGCCAGGAGATCCTGCTGGCCTGCACAGGCAGCAGACTGGGCCTCTGGGACAGGAGGTCACAGCACATCAATTTCTCTCCTTATTTTGGTTTCACACATCCCACATCCACTTTCATCATGGGTGAACTTAACTATTTTCCTCCAGCATTTCTATTTTTTGTTGTTTTCTTTTTCCTTCCCTCCCTGACTTGCCATATTTTGCTGCTACCTTGCAGTTTATAAGGTGTGGTACATTCTGCCTGTCACCCTATGCAGCCTTTCTGGCACTACTCTGAAAACTGTTAGAACTGTAGAATAGATCAATAACTGTGAATAGTTCATGTGTGTGGGGAGCTCAGGGAGGCCTGTAGCCCAACCTCCTGCTCCAAGCAGGGGCAGCCTGGCCTCCATCAGGTTGCTCAGGCCTCTGTCCAGTCAGGTCTTGAAAACCTCCAAGGATGGAGATGGCACAACCTCTCTGGGCCTTCTCTCCCCTGCTGGACTGTCCTCATGGAGGCAAAAGGCTTTTCCTTATACCCCTCTTTCTCTCAGCCTCCTGCTCTGCACCCCTGTGACAGCCCTGGCTCCATCATTCCCGATGGTCCCCTGTAGGAACAAGGTGGCCACCCTCAGCCCTTTCTTCTCTAGCCTGAGCAAGCCCTGGTCCCTCCACCTCACCTCACAGGGCAAGTGTTACCTCCCCTGAGCATCTTGGTGGCCCTCGGCAGATTTCATCCCTGTTTCTTCATGTCCTCAGTGTACTTGAGAACCTGGGCCAGGACACAGAATGGAGGTGAGGTGCAATGAGTGCTGACTAACCTCCTTGCTGGATCCTGTGGCCCTGCTCGTGCGGCCCAGGAGGCCTTGGGTGCCAGGGCACACTGCTGCCTCAAGTTCAGCTGCTGTCCACCAAGATTCCCTGGTTCCTTGCAGCAAAGCTGTCCCAGTCCTGCCCTGTTGGCCCTTCTTCCCTTTGGGCAGGACTTTGTGTTTGTCCTCGTGAGGTTCCTGCTGTCCCCTGCCTCCAGCCTGGCTTGGCCCCAGTGGGTGGCTGCTCTGTCCTTGGGCTCAGGGTGCGCTCCCCACAGTTTAGTGGCACTTGCAGACTTCAGCAAGTCCTGTGTCCCCTGAATAAAAATGTGAAGCAGGCCAGGAGCCCAGAAGCACTCACTTGTTGCCACCCTCCAGGCAGACCATCACCAAGTCTGACCATCCAGCCATTGTCCCGTCCCTTTGTCCAACCACCCAGACCCCAAAGTCTCAGCATGTTCGGTATTGCAGGACACAACGTCACTTGTCTTGCTAAAGTTGAGGTAGTTGGCATCCAGCTGTCTTCCCTCATCCACAAATCCAGTCATTTGATCACAGAACGTAATCAAGCTACTGAGGCCTGATTTACCCGTGGTAAGTCCATGCTGACCACCTCCAGTCACTATCGTCTCCTTCAGTGCACACACCCCATTATTTTCCCAGGGATGAATGTGACTATCCTGTATTTTCTCAGATCTTCTTTATGCCCTTTTGAACGTAGGGTGCAACGTTTGCAGTATTGTGGGGAATCTGCCCCAGTCTCCATTTCTTTTCAAAAATGGTAGAGAGGCCTTGTAAGGACATGGGATTCGGCGCTGTTCCATACCTGAGTGGATACCTGCTATTGCATGTACACCTGAAGAGAGCACAGAAGACCTCGTTTTCTTAACTTGTTACCTAGAAAGACGAAAGGAAGGCAGGGAGAATCTAGGGAAGAAGCTCTTCCCACCAGCAGTAAAAAACACTGCTACAGAAAAAAGGATGTGGGTGGCTCTGCTTTGTAAGGAAAAACCGTGGTGGTAAAATCACTGGTACAGATAAGTGGTGACTTGGGATGAGGACATGAAAATACCTCTGTTTGAAAGAGGAGGAGGAATTACCGAAAAATAATAAAATTAAAATAATAAAAAATAATAAAATTTAATAAATTTTAATAAAATTTAGAAAAATGGGTAAAAATTTAGAAAGCACATAAGGTATGAAGTTTTTTGTGACACCAAAGTCTAGTAGGAACTAAAGCTGCTTCTAAAAGGACATTTTAATGAGATCATCACTGGATTGGGTATGGATGGGAAATCAAATGGGACCAAGAGGGAAGTAGACTCAAACCAGAGGTGGAATGGGTGTCTCTTTATTTTGTGACAGTCTGATAGCTACAAAAGGCTCTTCTGCTTTCAGCCTGTTGGGAAGTAAGTGAGTGCTACAAGAATAAAGGCACGTGAGTATCACAGAAGTGCTTGTCCCAGGGCTGCCGGGATTAGGGGACGTGTGTTAAAGAATCTTTATTTCAGTCCAAACAGATGTCTCGTAATATTTCTTTGTACATCCCCGTGTTTAAATGTTTCAATTTCCTGTGCAGCTTGGGAAGGAAAGCAGTCAGATGGACAGTCAAGCAGCCCGCAGAACTCCACCTCCAGTTCCTCTCCCTCTGTTAAGCTCGATAACTCCTTGCCAGGGCTGGGGAAGAAGCCATTCCAGAGATCTGACAGGCTCCATGCAAGTAAGATATTTATTTTTCTGCTTACAGAGATTTAGTTATTCTAATGTCAGAACAAAAGCCTAAATAGCAAAATTGACTAAAACGTGCATTTAATTCCATTGCTAAAGTGATTTCTTGACAATCCTGGAAGGCGCTCCTAATACCTTCTGTATGAACTAGGATAAATAATTCAAACTTGCCATATACAAATAAGCCTTGGCTTACTTCTTATCATCAGGGGTTTCTGCCTTTGAATTTGCAGCTTACAGTTTGAGAAGCAAAGAAGGATTTGCATTATTTATCAGACATTTTTCGTGTGCTTAAGATACTTTGGAAAACATTAAAAAATAAAAATGAAATAAAAAATTCCTTCCCAGATCTTTATAGCTCAGCCCCCAATGTTATTCGGCTTCCTTTCAGTTCGAGTTAGATCTTTCTCAGCTTTCATGACCTTTTGTGGTTTCTTTTGCATATACCGATGATGAAATTAACCTCAGTGAACATAAGGCCATGCTGAGGTCTCCATCTATGCTAATCATTCAAGATTTCCTTTATCACTGGTGAAAAAAGGCATTTTGAGGGCATGTTTCATTTGTCCTCCACACAGCTAGCTGATGTGCCAATGCCTGCATTTTAGACATCTGTATACATTTGGTGGAATAAAATAGGATATTGTTATTTAAATGGCACCTTGCCCTGCCTCTGGAAGTCACAGGAAAAGGAAGAGAGTATGTTCTCAGCCCATAACTCCTCATTGCATACCAGTCCCCAAATCCCATCAGTTCAAAAGTTTCACTCACCCTTGAGTCCACTGGGGTTTCTCTAATCCCCCATCTGATTTGCTGTTTTGAGCAACTCATTCTTTGACAACAGATAGCCATAATTTAATGAAGAGCTACTGATTATTTTTTAGTAATTTTATCAATGAGGAGGATGTGGCCTTGCTTCTAGTTCTGTTGTTTCTATTACACTTATTAGTATCACATTTGGCTGATTTGTCAAATTTTTTGTCTCCTCAGTTCTGAATTCCTTCTCTCCCTCCACTACCTCAAGGCTCAGACACATTTACAGTGCCATGTGAGATAAGGTTGCTTTTGCAATTCTTATCTTGGCCATAAAAAAATAAAAGGATTGTGACCCATTGAGGTAAAACAATTTCCAGGTTCTATGTTCATACAAATGAAATATTGGGAGAAAAATGTCAGGCAAAGGAATGCTCAGGTGCCACTTAGGGCACTTGTATCAGTGAACTCTCAGTCAGATGGGAACAGTGCAGCTAGCTTGAGGTGCCTGCTTGACAGTCTAGCTTCAGCTCTCACTGTGAATAGGAAATTCTGCCAGTCTTGATAAGTTACAAACCTGCAGAGCCATTTCCTGAACAACTTCTGAGAGAGCAGTCTTCCAAAGGGAACAAGTCCTCATGAATTTATTTTGTTAGGTATGTTACCTTAAAATAATTGCTGTGATCCCTGAGCTCAGGTGGCACAGGGTCTGTCTTAACACTAGCCATTTTTCTATTAATGCACTTTTAATCTAAGCCTCCAAGCGTGTGGTATTTTGCCCGTAATAGACAGTAGATGAATCCAAAGGAAATCGTGTACATGGTACAAATGCTTTCTTCAGTAATAGCTTCTGAATTTGCAGTATGTACACGAAGCTGGCAGCAGTGTAAGGGTTAAGGCTGGATTTCCTGGCTTTCAAACACAGAAAAGGAAAGAGGAGAATTATTGCATTTTTACTGCTTTGTCTAGTGTTGTGCTTTCAACACGAGCAGAATGAGCTGATGATTTTTTCTGGAATGCTCTTGCTGAAAATAAGGTAGTAAAGTCCAAGAAGAAATCCAGAAGAACAAACTGACCTCAACTAGAGGCTTAAAATAGAAAACTGATGTGGCTGAAAGCAGTTCTAGAAACCCCCTTGAAAAAGAATCCTTGATAGTCCCCAGATAGATACCAGGATTCATAGAAAAGCTTGATTAACTGACACGGAGTATGATGTATTAGGTATGGAAATTTTCTGTGCCAGAAAGGACCTCCCACATTTTGTTGTTAGCTATATATAACCTTTATACAAAGGTAAACCATGTAAGATTTCAAGTTAAGGTTTGAAATGCTGCTTTAGAGTGAACTCTAAAGGAGCATTTAATCCCCACTTAGGTAAGATGTTACTCGGGTCTTTTTCATTCTTTGCAGGGCAGCTGAAGAGAACAAAGTGTGCTGAAATTGATGTGGAAACTCCTGACTCCATCCTCGTGAACACGAACCTGCGGGCACTGATCAACAAGCATACGTTCTCTGTTCTGCCTACGGAATGCCAGCAGCGCCTGCTGCTGCTGCTGCCAGAGGTGGACAGGCAGGTGAGTTATGTGTTCTGGTGTGATGAGAAGGGGGCAGTTGGGAGCATCTCCAGAAGTAATTCAGACAAGACATCCAAATACTATGTCAACATCTAATGGGATAGACTTTTTTCCAGTATTTTTTCAAAATACTGGAAAATTCTTCAGTGATTTGTTTGGGTATTTGTTGCTACCAGATAAAATAATTCCAATTTGATAAACCAGTGGCTTGATTCCATTCAGTCAACTGCAAATTTTCAGCTACGGTGAGAAAAATGTTTCTGTTACATTGGACTTGATGAGGGCCTGGAGCAATGGTTTCAGCATCTTCCTCTCCTGTCCTCCCCCAGACTCATCAATACAGGATTAACCCTGCAGCCCTCTGTACAGGTGCCTTCCCACAGGATGCCTGAACGGATGGAGGAATTTAGTTCCATCCTCTTCTGTTTCCCATTATGTTGTGTTACTGCTGTCAAATTCTGGATTTGGTAGAGTGAAAACTGAGTGAGTTCTCTATTGCATTTTAATATTGTCCAGATTGCAGAGTAGACTGCAAAGAGCTTGTGTCCTGACCTGAAACACACTAGAGTAGAGGTACCAAGCATGACAAGTGAGTCAGCTTTGGAGGCCCTTTATATTTTGTGGATTGTCTGCTTGAAACTTCTTTGTGCAGGAATAGATGGATTTGAAAAAGTAGAAAAGTACTCGGTGGGGAGGAATGGGTGAATATTTTCAGGCAGTGGCACAGAAGAAACAATGAAGGTTTTCACCCAACTCTTCCCTAAACAAATTATGTTAACTGGAACAATTACCATTAGTGACAAGGGGGTAAGGACTCATCCTTCAGCATTGAAAACTGCTGAGAGAACCTACTGATAAGTTATTTTCATCTCAGATGGATCTGATAAATTTCATCCTAAGGGATAAATAAAATCTGGCTGAAGCAGTCTCAACACCACAGCAGTTTTCTTCAGCAGCTTGTGGAAGACAGGGATGATACCAAGAGAGGAGAAAAGAACAAATGTTGCACTTCGTGTAAAAGGAAGAAAAAACAGTGAGTTCAGGAAGTGAAGTTAAATACGTGTTCACGTGGAATACCAGAGAAGTTATAGCTAAACCAAGAATACTTCCTTCCTTTTACCTTAATTGTGTGTTATATTTATCATCATCATTCCTGCCTCAACTGGCCCGGGATCGTTAGAGCAAAATGGGCTTCTGCACTGTGCTTCCACTGCAGTCGTAGGGTTGTTAATTCAAATGCATTAAAGTATGTGCCTAGAGCTGTTACAAATGTCCTTTAGATATCCAGGCTGGCTTCAAGATGCCACTCCAGGGGGATGCCTTCTGTATCAGATCTGAGAGTCCCTTGAAGATGTTTTACTGTGCGCTGGTCAAACCAGTACCAGCTGCTCTCCTGAACAGATGCTGTTCAGTTGGAGTTCGGAAGAGTTGTAACATTTTTTGCTGTCTCACAAATTCTTATCTTCAGTCAGCATTCATCGGGGACTTGTTAGTCCAATAAATACTTGAAGGAATTGTTCTCTAAGTCCAGTTGCCGTTGCAATAATTCGGTATGTGTCAAATACGACGTGGTGGAGTTTGCAGCTGCAGTTTACTGGCAAGACGCTCACAGCAGATGGCAAGACATTGCTGTCCTGACTTTTAAGTTTAATTATCCTTAAATTCAATTAGAATTTGACTGAGAACAACTTTATAAATAATATGCTTGGCTCCTGAGAGGAGCCAAATTCTACATTTCACTGTGGTAAATGTCTGAGAGCAGCCGACCACATCAAATTGTGATGCGTTCCAAAAAAAAAAAATCAGACTTTGCTGTAGTAAACAGGAGAAGAGGTGAAATGCAAAAGGGCACAGAACTGTTGTGTTCTGCGTGGTAGTGCCTCCCTCCGAGTTATTCCAGTGGGTGCCTCTGTGAAACAGAAAGGGGGCACTTTCTGAGACACAACCCAGTCAGCCCTGTAGCTGAATAGTGAGGGTTTGGATTAGAAAATAAGCTTCTGCTTTTGTACATCTCGATAGTGGCTGGCTGTGCAGCAGCTCCTAACTTAAGTGTCTAACTCAGTCTTAACTATGAAACCTCCTGTTATGTCCTGGCCAGCATTTTAATTACAAATGATGCCTCAGTACAAGCAGTGTTTCTTTTTACCAAATCCTGCACCATTGCAAGTTCTTCCACAGATCTTCTGTTGTAATCAGATATATCCCAAATTTGGACAGTAAGATTTTGCTTGTTTGCTCTGATTTATTACCTCTTACTGTGTTACTTATCCAAGAAATGGAATCGCATCTGTTTTGCCCACAGCAGGTTTTTGTGACTTCCTGGCTGATACGTGTATTTTTGTGTTTCTAACCGAGAAAATTCCACTTTTATTTGTGATGATAATGTCCCACCATGCTATGTTCCAGTCTTAGCCTTATTTCATTTAATATTTATTTATATTCATTTATTATTTATTTCATTCTCATTTATGCCCTACGCTATAGCTTGACTGTCCTATTTGGTTAACCGTATTTTGAAGACTGAATTGGTTTTGAGCTTTATTTGTCTTTTTTTTTTTTTTCTTTTTTTTTTTCCTGAGGCATTTAGGGAAATGATTATATATGTTTCAGATTTGCTTTAAGAGGGTACCTTTTATGTCCTTACTTTTCCCAGAAAACAGCAGAGAGCATCCTGTTGCTCTGGATGGTACTTCAGGCAATCTCCTGCATTGATTTTGCAGGGCAAAGTGGATCTGAAGAAGCTTTTCAGCTTTTCATGCCGCTCTGTTTCCTTGCAATTCTCCTTGCCACCTGTATCGTGTGCTGCTCACGTATGTTTGTGCAGCAGCCAGGTTGGAAACAACTGGGCTGAAGCAAGGAAGAGGAAAATTTATCAGAACCTCCTGGATCCCAAACTTGGCACAGCCTTCAAAAGCCTTTTTATTTTCTTCCAAATGAGATGAAGACCAATTCTAGCAGGATTTGTGGCAAAGTTGCAACTCCTGCTCTGTTTTCAGATGACATAACGTAACATCTGCCTTTTCAGTTAATTAATGCTATTTGCTTTGTTCCGTATTCCAGGTTGGGGCAGATGGTTTGATGAAGCTGAGTGGCTCTGCATTGAACAACGAGTTCTTCACGTCAGCTGCCCAAGGCTGGAAGGAGAGGTTGTCAGAAGGTAAAACTTCCCCTGACAAAGAAGTAAAATGCTAGAAGGCTTTCGGCTAACAAATGTTTGGGGGAATTTGTAAAAGATACTTGATGGAGGAGTTGAAACACTGGAGTAACTTACTAGGCAAAGACTGTAGTCAGTATAGATCATGAGACCAAATAGAAGCCTACATCTTTGTAAACTACAACTCACAGGAGGGGCTGCAGGAGGGAATTACCTTTTGAACTGATGTGGAAAAATAGGCAAGTCTTTGGAAGAAATGACAAAAGAAAAATGCTTTTAAAATGTTGGTCAAATGATAGCAAAGATGTGTTATTCTTAAGTTGTAGTAGCTAAACATAGCCCACTGCTAAGCTCAGTAGGGAAGGTAAATTATATTCCCAGAGTAATGCACTTCATCATCAGTGTAGTCATCTAGTTGGGACAGCCAATCCTTTGAGCCATAATTTTTGTATACTCTAAAGACAGCCCTTTACTAATATGTAGGACACCTGCACCTTCAGCGATCATTTGCATCTTGAACTTAGAGGTGCTAATTCCATGATTTGATCAGATCAGATCATCAGAAGTGCGCTCATTCGTTGGCAAGGGACCATTTCCTCTACAGAATTCAGCCATGAAGCTGAGTTTTTATAAAGACAGCAGCATCAATCAGGACTCGTTTCAAGAAGGGAATGCCATTTACTCATCACAGACAATTGTTTTTTAAGAGGCTTTTCCATAGAAAATGTATCCTCTTCTGGGTCACCCTTTATATTTTGTGGATTCTGGATGTATCTGTGCCAGTAACCAGACCAGGCATAGACCTCAGCTGTCTGTACTGCTTAATTGTTGAAACTGCCCCTGGTTTGGCTCCCATCATTTAGTGGTTTTCCTTTGATGTCTTCTATAAAGAAGACCTTTCGTCCATTCATGAGTACACATCCAGAGGGTACAACAATGTTTACACAAAGATCACCAGATTGAAAACAAAACTGCTGTAGAACCTGCTTGCAGCGATCAGGGCAAAGGCTGGAGATCTCCACTGACGTTCTCACCGAGCAGCAAGTCACTGCCCAAGCATCAAAGCTCGGTGGCACTGTGGGCAGAGCAGTCCTGTTCCTTTCTTCAGCTACTCTTCAAGTTGCTGATGATTCATAAGAAGGCTGTTTGGAGTCAGCCACAGTTTAATATCACACATGCACTGTGTCCTGGATGACAAACAGGGGTTACCTGCCATGTTTACGTTTGGCACCCATGCTGACACGTCTTTTTTTAGAATTCCATCCTTTTTTTCCCCGAGATTGAGGAGACTTAAGTGCTGTGCACCACAAACTGTCCATTTACAGTTGCACGCCTAAGCAAGAAGCTTTTGATGTTCTTGCACACACTGAACCACAGCCACCCATGGCTGTCATTTCACAGTGCCATACTGCTTTGCTGTCTGCCTGGCAATCTCTTCTCAGCCTTCAGAAAGTGGCAGTTACGTAGTGCATGCATACATCCAACATATTTTTGTGTATATATTCGTATTTATTTAATAAGCACCGTTTCACACAAAGCATCTATTGGCAGCCAGAGCTGACACTGACAGTGAAAGCAGTTGGGACTGTCTGGCAGAAAGCTGTTGCCCACCCACTGCAAGGAGGAGGCAGCAAGGAAACACCTTGCAGCTCCAGAAAAATGCTGAGGTGTCACAGGCAGGGATGGTGTCACAAGCTGTGGAGGGGACTTCTCTCATCTAGAAGTGTGAAGGCTTCTGTGCTTATCCTGGTTCATTTTATGCAGATATCCCTTATTGCATTTTGCAGGTGAGTTTACCCCAGAAATGCAGCTAAGAATACGTCAAGAGATAGAAAAAGAAAAGAAGGTTGAGCTGTGGAAGGAGCATTTTTTTGAGAGCTACTATGGCCAGAGGTAAGACCTTCAGCTGTCTGTTTTATCCCCCTCGTTGCCTGTGCAGACGTACCTGCTCCTGTGCTGTTAGTGTGCTGCCCACCAATACACATCGCTCTTCAACAGTCCTGAAACCTGAACAAGGTTTAGCTTCATCCATCTGTCACAGAACTGAGGAAGTATCTTGAGGTGTGTAGGTCAGAACTGATGTGTTCGCCATCGTAAGATTTCTAATGGTTTAACTGGTGTAGCATTGTTTTCTTTACGTGAGCTGTCCCTTAGATCCTTACATATTAACCTTTCCCCCTCCTTACTGTGATACTTTGAGATGTTTCCCCTCCTGTGGTTCTTCTAGTGTCAGTATTTTGGAGGATCCACAGGTGTGTGGTGTTTGAGTGTACTGTGAGTCACCTTCTATGTAGAACCTTGTGTTTTCCCCACATCTTCAATCAGACCTACATTTGATTAAATTCCCAGGTCTGTAAATACACGTATTTCATTCTGGTTCTTTTTGCTTCAAGATTTTCCCTTTTTTGAGGCTTTGGAAAGGATCTCAGGTTTCTGTGTGAATAACTGTGCTAAGAAACTTGGAAATTACAAGCTGCACATAAATAGCTGATGCTGAATTTCTCATCCTGCGTCTTTACAGTTAGCTTTTATGCTTCTCGTTGGACTGTCAGCTAGTTTCTCTTCCATTTGTCTGTGGTGTTTTAACCCTCTAGAGCATTCAGGCTATTGTAAGCCCTACTTTTGTCATTCCATGGGTTGATAGTTTGGGGTTCCGTGAGTGAGTAGGAGCCTGGTGTGTATGCTTGTACATATGGAGTACTGAGTAAAGGAATGAGTATTTTTAAAATAACCAGGTTGAGAATGCAAGTGATCTGGTGGCATTTCACAAATAAAGATGGATGAGCAGTACAGGGAAATACTCCCAGATTTTTGATGGTGGGGAAAGGCAGCAATGTTGGTTCTAACCTCAAGGTACTTCAGCAGTTCTGGCACTAGCCACGTTCTTCTGGAAGAAATGGTGGGACACTTTTCAGGAGCTCCCTTCCAGCAAATGTCACCATATGATATGTATAATACATATAAATGTATTTTGGGTATCATAACTAGAGAATCCTCTCTGTTCTCATACTTTTCTGCAAGAACGTTTCATAAAACAAAAATTCTGTTTTTCTTGCTAGTTCTGGACTAAGTCCTGAAGAGTCCAAGAGACTGACAGCAAACACCAGCCCTGCCGAGACAGAGGTTGAAAATCCAGCAGCTGAACAGCCAAAATGCATGCCAGCCTCTCTGGCACCACTCAAAGAGGAGATCACTCCTCCAGCAGAGTCTAAAGCACAAGCAGCCCAGGCAACGCCCGCAACAAAAAAAGGAGGAGAGGAAAGAAGAGAGGACACGCAGCCAAAACCAGCCAAACCTGCAGAGGCCTCAGTTTCCCCAGATGGCTGTGCAGCAAAGCCTAGCGACCACCCTCTGTCTTTAAAAGAGAAAACACAAGGAGAATCCACTCAAGAGAAACCACCATCTGCTGTCAGTCAAAAGCCAGAGGAAGAGAAGAAGCATGCTGCATCAAAGGAAGTGCCAGTGAAAGAGACTGTGAGTACCTCAGTTTTGGCCCTGAGCAAACCAAAGAGCCCTGAAGCAGGTGAAGTAGTAGCAACCACGGCGAGCCCGGTGATTACTCCACAAACACCAGAAAAGAAGTCCCCTGCAAATGAGGAGATGGAGGTCAGCGTTGAAGGCCATAAGAGGAAGTCGGAGAGCCGTGAGGAAGGTGTAACCACTCCGGAGAAGAAGCCCCGCATCATGGAGAACTGCCAGCACCACCAGTCGTTTCGGAGCCAGCCACAGTCCTTTCCTGCAGCTGGGACCCCGGTGCCACGGGTACCCCCACTCAAGGTAAGGAGAAACAAGGGCAGAGCCACCGAGGGGCTTTGTATCCATCAGCTCAGGTGGGAGCTTCAGTTCTGGCTACGAATGTGAATTATGTTACCTCCTTATTACAGTGATAGAAATAATTGGTCTGAACCCACAAAAGCTTGGCTGTTTGATAAAGGGAATCAGCTGGCTGGCTAATTGAGTTCAGCTCCGCCTCTTGTACACATGCATCTGTTAAAGGGTCTGCTGGACCAGAAGCTCTAGCAATTGCATGCAAGCCCAAGACTGAAAATAATAAGGAGCACTGCAGGTCACGGTGGGAGCTGGGGAGAGCTGCAGAGGAATTACAGGACTGTAATTACAAAGGAACTTGTAGCCTGAGAGCACACAACTTTGTAGATGTGTGAGTATCCCCCTCGGTACAATAACAGGGCTAGAGAGGATGCTATCAGCAGCTCGCTAGATTTTATCAAGTCCAAAAAGTAAATTATTTGCCTGTGCTTATATAGACCACATAGAAATGATACAGTTATCATTTATACCACCTGAATGCAGGGGAGTGTCAGACTAGGTAGCAGGGAAAGGCTATTTTAGGGAACACCCCAATTCCAAAAGTCATTTAGTGCTGAGTCTTAGCGAGAATGAAAGGAAATTGGCAATAAATCACTGAAAAGACAGAGAAAACAGGAAGGAAGCATGAAAGGTCCCACACTTTGGCCTGGACAATGCAGTTCTCTTGCACTTGAGATCTAGGTCATAGGATGCATAACACACCTCCTACTAATTTTCCAGGGAATTTAGGGAGGTGACTGACCCCCTCTGCTCTGCCCTTGTGAGGCCCCACTTGGAGCACTGCGTCCAGGTCTGGAGCCCCCAGCACAAGAAGGATGTGGAGACGTTAGAGTGGGTCCAGAGGAGGGCCACAAAGATAATCGTACACTCTTTACTTGTGTAGATAATCATAGGACAAGGGGGAATGGTTTTAAACTACAAGAGGGGAGATTTAGATGGGAGGTTAGGAGGAAATTGTTCACTCAGAGGGCAGTGAGGCACTGGCACAGGTTGCCCAGAGAAGCTGTGGGTGCCCCATCCCTGGAGGTGGTCAGGGTCAGGCTGGACAAGACCCTGAGCAACCCTTCCCTGATCTGGTGGGTGGCATCCTGCCTGTGGCAAGGGGTTGGAATTGGGTGGTCTTTAAGGTCCCTTCCAACCCAAGCTATTCTATGAAATTCCCACTGGTAAGTAACAAACGCTCCCATTTCACACATTTGATACTCTTTCAGAAAAGGATTACAAGATTACACATGTACAGATAACACTGACACTTTCTTCAGTGCTGTTATGCTCAATAGGAGATAGTAAATGGATGAGCCAGCACAGATTTTTTTTTATAGTTGTGTGCAGGAATACAAGTTCGGTTTTTGTAGAACAGGGCCTCATTTGGGGCCTTAGGCAGAAGCTGGAAGTGGAAAACTGCAGAAGTGCTGTGTTTCTGCATGTTCCAAGAATTGTCATCTGCTATTAAGATTGTTCTTACTAAGAAATGTACAAACACAAAAACTAAATTTTAGAAGTGGTTCATTGTTCCAACTAAGTTCATTAATAAGTACGGCGCAAAGGTAGGCAAGTATTTATAAAATTTGTTAATAACACAAAATTGGGAAAAAACAAATACACAGGGTGAGCGATTGACCTTCCACTGCAATGTAATAAACATGGGATTTAATGTAATAATACAGAATGAATTTATGGGTGATTGAAAATAGTTTCCTCTGTAAGGCAAAGTCAGTCCTCAGGGAAGAAGGAAGCAGGGAGCTGGTTAATCAGGAGATGACTGGGAGTCCACAAGGGGTTGCAGATCTGTGAAGAGAAACGTTAACCTTGTAAGATACTAGTTTAAGTCCCTACAATGGAGACAGAAAAGCACCAATATTAGTGCCCTGTTCTCATCATTTGCATTTTAGAAAGAAGGAACTTACACAAATAAAGTAAACTGTAATGGTATGGGGAGCGGAGAACGTGTTTTAGAAGAAAGGACTAAAATTTGGCATTGTACTTGAAGACATGGTAAATAGAGAATATTACCAGTTTACAGAAAGACACAGAGGGGGTAGAAGTATAATTCAGAATTTTTTCAGATTTATCTAGGACTACACATGTCAACGCTTCTGTTCTTAAATATGCGGGTCGAACGTTCCCCATATCTCAATTCTACTTTTCTTCTCCTCTCTTTCAGATTCCTGTTTCCAGAATCTCCCCAATGCCATTTCCTGCGGGCCAGGTCTCTCCCGGGGCACGTTTCCCAACCTCAGTCACCAGTCCGGGAAGAACAGGGGCCAGAACTCTGGCAGACATCAAGGCCAAAGCCCAGCAAGTCAGGGCCCAGAGGGCAGCGGCCGCCGCCGCAGCCGCCGCCGCCGCCGCGGCCGCATCTTCAGGGGGAGCAGTGCCAGGGCCCGGGCCCGGCGGTGGTGGGGGCCCTCCGGGTGGTGGAGGAGAGAAGAGTAACGCAGCACCAGGCGGAACCAAGGAAACTGGAACTGGAGGAAATGCACTGGAACTGGCAGGAACTGGAAGCGGGGGAAGTTCGAGAAGGTTTCTTCCCCATTGTCCAGGGCCCCGTTCCCAAATGGAGACCCAGGCCACGGACCAGCCACCAGCTCACAATCTCTCTAGAGCACAACTACAGCAAACTTCCACATTGCAACCCAGAACTCCAGGCAGCAATACGGGCACCGCCTGCTCCTCATCAGCGCCATCAGCACTAGAGAAAAGCGACAGGATAAAGCAGAGCCCCCCAAACGTGACTGTAACCCAGGTTCCAGGCTCCCCGTACGCTGGCAGCAGTGACAAACAAGAGAAAGCACCTTCTGCTCCAGCAGGTCCGAGCCAGGCCAGCGGGGCATCGGCTGTCAGGGATGGAACAGGCGGTGTCACCGCGTCCACAGCGGGTGCCAACACAAATGTCACTAAGGTAGCGCCTGCGGCCTTAGGAGGGACCAGCCCAGATGTCTCCAAAGGCACAAATCCTTCCCCTCTGATGTCTTCGTCTTCACTTCTGACACCCACAGGCTCAGAAGCCCCGGCTGGAGGCGCGGTAACGTCTGCTCCATCTGCCCCTTCCTCCAACGCTTTGTCAGCAGCACCTAGCCTTAAAACTCACCTAAGCTCGAGTGGGGCCCTCCCGAAAACGAGCTCCAGTATCCCTGCTAACAACCCTTTGGTCACCCAACTGCTGCAGGGCAAGAATGTCCCTCTGGAACAAATCCTGCCGAAGCCTCTCACCAAAGCAGAAATGAAAACTGTCCCGTTGGCTTCTAACGAAGAAAAAGGGGCAGCAGCACCCAGTGCCGCGAGTGTAGCAGGGAACGGGACTGGAGCCGAGGGTGGTGAAAGACAATCGGGTTTACCCACACAGCAGCTTGGGAAGATCTTTTGCCAGAGCAGGCCCCTGCCTCACATTCCAAGGACCTTTCCAGTCCCCTCGGGAAAGGACCCCGGCGTTGAGCAGCACCCGTGCCCGGAGCCGCTCAGTAAAACAACCCAAGAGCAGATCCTTCAGACTCTCATCAAGAGGGTCCAGAGGCAGAATTTGTTCCCGGTCCTTCAGCCTTCACAACTGAACCTCTCTCACTCAGGTTTCCAGTTAGAAAACAGCTCCACCAGCCAGAGGTTTGTGCTGGGTTTCATGGGCAGGAGGACCTCCAAGCCTGCTATGTCTGGTCATTATCTGCTCAACATTTCCACCTACGGCCGCGGCTCGGAGAGTTTGAGGAGAGGCTTCTCCTTGAACCCGGAAAACCGCTTGTGTCTGAACAGTCCTGCTGAGGCTCCGAAAACAGAATTTGGGGAATGCGAGGAGATGGCCGGCCAGGGCAGCAGCAGCAGCGAGGAAGGAGATGCAGATGACGAGAGTACCGGTGACGAACGCGAACGTGTCAGTGTGAAAGAGGAGCCCCAGGCTTCGCAGGTGTCCGGCCAGTGTGAAAAAGAACAGGGGTCACATCACACAAACCCTTCAGATTACGGCATCCCTGCTAAGAAGGGCGTAAAGACGGAATCGGCCGCGTCTCAGCAAGCAGCAGGCAGCAGGGAAAACGTTCCGGGGTTTGACGGAACGACGCTAGCGCGAGATTTTATCCAAGCCGCCCAAGAGCAAATGGCACATGCAATGAGGGGAAAGATGCACGGCAGCCCCGAGCTTTTCAGTCCTTCTGTGCCGTCCTCGGACTCTGCGCAGCAGCAGCCTCCCCAGCTCCCTCCTCCACAGCCTCCGAAGCTGGGCGGAGATGCTGCAGCACAGCTCCTGGGGCCCAGTTACAGCGGCACCATAAACGTCTCCACCTCCCCGGACGTCAACCAAGGGTCTCTGATGAGCGGGCTGTCGGAATGCAATCAGCTGTCCAGCAGCATGGGGAACGTCATGTCCTTCTCGGTGACTGTCACCACCATCCCCACCAGCCAAGCGATGAACTCTGGCACCCACGGTCAGACCATCCCGGTTCAAGCCTTCGCTGAAGACCACGGCATGGAGGACTCCCCTTCCAAATGTTACTGCAGGTTGAAAGCCATGATCATGTGCAAGGGCTGCGGCGCCTTCTGCCATGACGATTGCATCGGCCCCTCTAAGCTCTGTGTCTCCTGCCTTGTCGTGCGGTAACCGGGACGTGAAGCGGGGAGGAGGATGGCTGGACGTTGGTTTTGCTTTCGGAAGTACGTTGGGAAGAAACAGGAAATTTACTGCCTTGCACAAGAGACACGTTACTGAATCAGGAATACAGAGTAGAGTTCTTCTTTCATTAAAGAAAGAGCACCTTCTTGTACAGTGAGTCTAAATTGAGCTCAACTACGTGAATTGTGACAAGAGTTTGCACTTAAGGAATTATGTAAATATGTCACATTATTTTGTTTAAAAATATTTTTTCAATCTTTTAGGAGATAGTGGTTGACTTGTACTGCAGTTTCATTAACCCCAGCCTGCTATCCAGCATGTTTGCTGAGCTCTGCTCTAGATGGGGGAATGAACCCCCGGCAAAACATCAGCCTGTTGGGCTTCTCTTGGAAAGAGAAGAGCCGGAGAATACGAAACTAAACGCTTGTTCTGACTGATGACAGAGCACTGGAGCAGGAAACCCTGAACGGGCTTGCTGCGTTGCTCTAAATTTTAGTTCAATTTTTCAGAATTGGAAGGCGTTAACATCACCCAGGCCTTTCAAGTCCTTGCCTCTCCCTTGTGACACGGCTGTCTCCAGAAGGCATACTGGGTTGTGCAATATTGGCTGGTGTTTTTGATTCGCATATCCTCTCCTCTCCAAGGAGGCAGTTGCAGTAACCTTCTTTTAGGGACGGAGGTATCTTGGTTTGCTACTGGCAAATACCGAAAAGGGCAACTGTGCTAACCGTAGGATTCAAGGATTTAAATCACTAAAACAACTCAGTAACTGTGAGTATTGGTAATTCCAGGAACCATTTAAAGCAGAGATCGCAAATATGAACTGCATTTCATTTCTGGACTGTCAGGACTCGGCAGAAACCTGCTTTTGTTAGGCATTATTTCAAGGGAGCTGGGGAGTGCGGCCCCCGGAGCTGAGCACCGCCGGTTGTTGCAGCACATTATGCAAGTGAAGTGCACTAAACGTCACCCTCTGCCCTACTGTTTTCTAGGAAGCTTTTTGTGGCTCATTAAAAACTCCACAGATAGTCAGACTTCTCCAAGTTTCTATAGATTTTTCTATTTAGCTGAGCGTAGGGAAAGAAAGCAAGGACCTCGTGTGTCCGTCGGAGGACGCCGAGCCGGTGCGCCTTGGTGCATCGGGGCGAGCTCGGGAGGGGTGCAGCTGGTGGGACGCGTTCCTCACCCCCAGGAGCCGGTGCTCAGCCTCCGTGCGCTCCAGGTGGTGGGAATTGAGCGATGCAGAACGGTACTTGGTGCTGGACGACACGGATTGACAACAGGCTGGCTAATAAAGCACTCGCCGATCTGCGTGGTGACAAATCGCCGCGTGCCCGCCCCACACGGGGGACGTGTGGGTCACTTCTCTTCCAGAACAGCGTCAGGTTGGATAGTCACATCCAGTCCCATGGTGTCACTGTGCGGGGTGGGAGGGGGGCCATCCTGGAGCTTGGTCAGGTAACAGATCTATGTATCTTTTTTGATGGAAAAAGCACTGAATTCACTTTGAATCCAAAGGCCTTTTTAAGATGAAGCAATATTAACAAAATAGGTGACAGCTGTTTTACGAGCTGGGGTCCTAAAGCCTTTTTTCCTTCTTCCCGTTTGATTATACTACTGCTTTCCCCGCTTCCCCCTCCCTCGCGGTAAGCTCAGGAGCTCTGCCCGGGAGGCGCCGTGTGGTTCTGCGAGGAGCGGGTGTTGGTTTGTTTGTTAATGGTTGCAGAGAGTTGCAGACTCGATGGCTTCACAATAAAAGTGTTTCCTTCCCTGTCCAGCAGAGCGTGGTGTCCTCCGAAGCAGGGTCAGCGTGCGTGAGTTAACGAGAGCGGCCGCGTGTGCACCGTGCTCGTAGTTCTGCCCGTAATAAATGCACCGGGGAGCAGTGCCTCCTGCTTCCCGACTGTGCATCGCTCCTTGTAGACATCCAGTGGTGGACGGGATTGAAGGGTTAGAAATACAGACTTTACGCTTACATCTCAAAAAAAAAAAAAGAAGAGAATGCAAGAAGTGCTCCCAGTTCTGTCGTACCGTGCAGCCCCACGCCAGGGCTGCACCGTCCCACGGCTGGCTCCGTGCGTGCCCGGGGAACCCAGGAGGGTTCACTTCTGCTGCAGCTGCTGTAGCAGGGATGATTTGTTCCCCGGGTCGGTTTGTAAGTGCTCATTTGGACAGCGCCCCATCGCTGCCTGCTTCCCTCTTTGCTGCTGCACCAGGAATTTCTGCCATTCTTTGAAATCGTAGGGCGCGGCGTGAAACGGCTTCGCGCGGCGTACCCCGGGGAGAGCAGGATCTTCCCTTCCCTCATTAGCTCCAGCCTTGTCTAGACATGAAAGCAAAGTTATGGCAACATAATCCCTCAGCGAGACACGTTCGTTCCCTCGGCATAATCCAATTTAAGGTTGTTTGGGGTTAGAAACCAGGCTGAAAAAGTCATTTTAGCCTCAAATAAAAGCAAAGAGGCTTTGCTGGCGTAATTGGCTCAATGCTGTTCACACCTTGACGTCCATCGGTGTGAATTCTGCCGGCTGACAAGGCTGCTTCAGAGGGGGAAGGGGAGGATGCTGAGGGAGCAGCACGCAGCTGCTGCCTGCTGTTGGCGTCCCCAGGCTGCTCCATCTGTCGCCGCTGTCGCGTTGGGAAGGTTTCGGTACCCAGCGACTTCTAAAACAGCAGCCCCAGCTGCGGTTCCGACGGGTCGCTGCCTTTAAATTGCACGAGCTCCCCTGCAGCCTGGGGGTTGGGTTGTCTCCAGGCCCATTTCTGAGAGCCAGGAGCTGCTGTTGATGAGCAGGACCGCAGGAACCGAGCGGCTGCCGGGCTGTGCTGCGCCCTGTGGGCATCCCACGCGGCGACTTGGAAGTTTACAACTCTGTTCAGTGCCTTAGTTATACTTTAACAGCTGAGCACTTTCATTGGGCTGCTTTTGTTCTGTTCCTGTCTCAGATAATAAATCCTTTTAATCGCGTGTCTTTGATTTTAGCAGACGCTACGAGCGACAAGGTGGAACTCGAGGAATCGTAGCCACGGGTTTGCGAGAGGGCATTAAGAGGTTAGGAAACTGTTAGAAATAACGGGGCTCAGTGTAATGATCGATACAAGTACAGGTCTATATAAAACCTTGAGAGCTCTGCATGTTTTCCAGTGCTGGTTATTGAATAATGTGTTCTAGAAAGGGAAAATCCTGGGGCGCCCCTTTAGGAGCGCTCCCTGCGTGGCGTTGCCCTGCTGCCCTCCTCCCCCCATTTGTCTCCGCTCTTCCATCGCCTGCCCTTCCTTGGGTGTGTAATTCAGATCGTGACACAGCTTAAAACATTGGGCTTTGGTGGGTAGGTATTAAAAATATGCCATTCTCCAGTAAATCCAAGCCCGGCAGCGTGAGAACGAGGAATGCAAAGAGACCCGTGGCTTTTAACCTCCCACCTCCTGCAGGTGATTGCGATGGAGGAGTGAAGGCGCCTAGAGACGGGTTGAGGTTTTGGGGTGCAGATGGGCAGCGCGGGGAGGGAAATTGGAGATGTTCATGTCTCAAATCAAATGGAAAGGCAGCAAGCTGTGCTTTGTTGGGCAGTCACGGGGGTGATGGGGAAGGCAGTGCTGGCCAGGGCCCTGATGGCCAGGAGGTCACCGCTTGGCCAGGTCACCCCCTAAGTCCTTTTGGGGACCCTGGGGCAGGAGCAGGTGCCTGGGCTGGGGCAGGAGCTTGCACCTCAGCTGGGGCGGACGGCGCTCAGGGTCGCTGAAAGCAGCTTGGAAAAAGATTTTGGTTTTGCAGGGGGGAAGTGCCTGAAAGAGCAGCGTGTTCTGTGCTGGAAGAGCCTCACCTGGGACGCGTGGAGCCCTGGGGAAGCTGCTTTGTTTCCCTTGGGAGCCTTGTCCCAAAGCAAACGGCCACGGGGGCTCTGCTCGCCCCAGCAGCGCTGTGCTCAGCTCCAGCAGCCAGAGCAGCAACAGTGGTGGGGAGCAGGGGTGGTGGGGAGAGCACAACGAGGGCCCTGGGGCACCTGCACTGGAACGGGGACACTGCTGGGATGGGAGGGAGGGAGGGGACAGGCGGGGATGGGGCTGCAGTGGGGGTCCCGGGGGCGTGCTGCGCGCTGCGGTCACGATAGCCAGAATTGTCTCGATGAACTAAGTTTTGTTTGTTTTTGTTTTTTTTAATGCTATACGTTTGATATAACTGAAGATCAACTTTAAGAGCTTACAGTAATATATTTTAAGTAATATATATTTTAGTATCTAAAAAAAATAAAATAAAATTGACAAAGGATGATTTATGAACTAGATGAACAGGGTATTGGGAGCATGCAGTTTCTCGGCAAGGCCAGGAATAGTTTTACTAGCAGGAGAACTGAAAAGATTCAGTTTTTTCCATTAATGCAATAAAAATGGGAGTTCTTAAAAAGAAGAAATCCAATACTGTTTACCACATGCTTTTCTTGTTTTGACAACAGGCCTGTAAACACAGTTTAGAAGATACTAAACCTTTGTCTGTCTTTCGCCTTTTTAAAAGGGACTTAAATTGGAATAGAGGGTATGTACAGAAAAATCAAGTTGACACCATTTTAAAATGTATTTTTACACAAATAATATAGAAAAATCATATTTTACGTAAGAATTTTAAGTATTTGAAATATGTATATATATACTGTATGTACTTCATATATTCTTTATTTTACATTTTCAATGTATTAAAAAGTATTTGAGCTGTTTGGATTTGAGCATGTAATAATGTTAAAAAAAAAAAAAAAAGAGGAAAAGATGAAAAGAGGGAGAGAGGGTGTGGGTCCTGCACGCTGCAGTGGCTGCTGTTGGCAGCCTGCAGGGAGCAGAGCACCCAGAAGTGCGGCAGCGAAGGGATTTTGGAAGTTCAGCAGTTTCAGGTAGAGCATACAGAACATTTCCCAGTCCTGTGTCCTGTCTGTGTCTCCTTTTGGATCCGTTCATTTTGCCTCGTAACCACCCAGAATCATCCTTGGTGAGAAGACAAAGAGGTGGATCTTTTATACAAGCAACGCTACCTTTATAGCCAAAGAGACGTGCTGGTACAGAAGCTACTCAACCAAAACAGAACCAGAAGCCGCTCAGTTGTGCTGTGCCACTGGAATTTCCACAAATAGGTTAATTTCTTGTTGTGAGCATCTTACGGTGCTTATGGGGAATTCAAACAATACCAAAAGTCCGATGATTTCAAGGAAGCACTGTCAAAGTGGATTTGTTTTGTTTTTTTTTTTTTTTGTGGGAATTATGGTGAAACGCTGGCTGCAGAGATGCTCCGTCTGCAGAAATTAGGGACTGAGTGAAGTCCGTTCACCTGGGCTGCTCGAGATGCTCCCCACCAGACTGAGATCTGCAGCCCCTGCTGGTTCTGCACTGAGAGAGAACACAAATCTCCCCATGGAGAGGAGGGTGGAAATGGCTCCACAGCGTGCAAGGCACAGTACCTGCCTCGCCCCCTTTTCTATGATGCCCATTTTGGCTTAGGTGAATCTCAAATCGCATTTATATTCCCCTTTATTCCTGCAAGCAATTGCAGGACTTGTATAAATTGGAGGTGTTCAGAGCAACTCTGTTGCTGGGACTTAGGGGGAAGGAAACTGGGGAAAAAAAAAAAAAAAAAAAAAAAAAAAAAAAAAAAGCATTAACAAGTTAGGTTTTAAAATACAAATTTAAAAATTTAAAAACTGAAAAGGCAGGCAATGGGTGTTTGTATATACTGCTGCGATTATTATTGGAATCCCTTGGGGAAAAAAAATAAAATAAAATAAAAGAAAGAAAAAAAGAAAAGACAATAAACGAGGCACCCAGTGACTGCCAAAAGTTGCTACCTACATGGGTAGGGCTGTCGCTCCCCAGAGTTGCACTGTAAGGGTGGGGGGGCGCGTACAGGTCGGGTCTGGATGCGGGGGGCTGCACGGGGGTGCAGCTGAGCGTGCACAGCGAGAGCGGCTTCATCTCAGTCTTCCCTTGGGCAGTTACCGCAGGGCTGGGACGGAATTACAGCTTTTGTATCCGTTTTCCTATTTAAGGTGTATGGGTTAGATGAAATGTATGCTAGTAAGGATGACTTTTGATCTGCTGCACTTTTTAAGAAACATTCCTTATTCCCCTGGTACTGCTGCATCTCCCGTCCCCTCCCACCCCCCTTAGACCTTAAACCCGGTCGGGGGCTCCGGTGACCTCGTGGCAGAGCCTGGGACCAGCGCCGTGATTCCCTCCCCGTCCATCCTCTGTGCCCCCGTGAGCCCGTGCCCTGTCACGGCCTGTTTGCAAAGTCAAATTTAGGCAAGAAAAGGCGTGTAAGAGCTCCGTGGGCCAGTTCCTAGCAGGAGCAATACATCAGGGACAATGAGGTCCCTCATGCTGCAGCCACGCATTTTGGCCAAGGTTGTTTTGTCACCCGGTCTGCACCCATTTTGCTGTGTAGGATTCCACCTTAGCTTCTCACCAGCATTAAGAGGAATCTGAGGAGCGCTGAGAGCGGCTTATTCCTACCCTGTCACCCGAGGCTCTGTGTGCCCGTAGGAGGTAGCACTTGGACAAGCAAAGCCTGCCCCGTGGCTTCTGTCTTCTTGCAGATTCTGGTCCTCTTCCTCTCACTTATTTTTGTCATGTAAAACTACCTGCTTTATAAGTGAATGTAAAATACCGTAGTTCTTCAGCACACGGACAAATGTGTATTTTATCTTAATGTTTCATTTTATGTTAAATAAAAGGCATATGATTTTATGGGTGTTAGTGCTGCTAATGTCGATTTTTCAGTGATTGCCTTCTGTCTTTCTAATGGACCCCGATAAACAATACTGCACTACATTTTTTCTGGCTTCGATATCTGTAAAGTCTTTTCCATACATTTCATGGGGAAAATTCTGGTTTAATAAACACTTTGCAGTTCCCTCAAGCCTCACTTCTTGGGGTGCTGAAACACTTTAAGGGCTTTGAGCTGTAAATTTGGGGAAAGGAAGGAACAGGAAAAAAAACTATCACATGATAGCAAAGTCATTTATTATAAAGGGAAGAGTTCGGAGAAGTAAATCTGAAACCAACTTTCCTGATTTGTCAGGTAAACTTTGGATACAATTAACAACTTAATAAAATCAGCAGGACTGAGGTGCCTGAGATTTCTTTTCAATTAATCTGTTACAAGCACCAACAATCTGTATTTCAAGCATAAAAAGGCAACGCGAAGGGGCTGTGAACCTACCGAGTAAATAATCACAACAAGAGTGTAAATAACACAGAATGGAGAAGGAAGGCTCGGTAAAGAAATGAGTGTCTTGCAGTACAAAGCTGAGAATACAAGGCCAGCTGAGTTGGAGTTTGCAACTAGTGGAAAAAAAATAATAAAATAAATAAAATAAAATAATAAAATAATAAAATAAAATAAATAAAATAAAATAAAATAAAATAAAATAAAATAAAATAAAATAAAATAAATCTACCACCTCATGCAGAGAAAAAAAAAAAAAAAAAAAAAAAGGTAAAAAGTAGAAAAGGTGGTGATTAAAGATGGTCCACAGGCATGACCCAAACCAAAAGAAATGCTATTCCCCTATTTTAGCTGAGGACATTGTTACACGTACCACTTCAACCAGATGACAAGGGTTTCCTGAAAGAGCTGACACAATGCTGCAGCTCAGGCAATGCACGGTTTTGTTTATCAAAAAACCTGTGGAGCACAGGGTTGATAGAAAGTATTCCATAATATAGGACTGCACACTTTCAAATACAGAAAATATTCTATATTTAAGAATAAAAGAAAATTACATCATTCATATGCAAGGTTCTAGAAGTTTTGAAGTTAAAAACTACTTGAAGCCATGCTGAAAAATGGGACAGAAAGCAACACAATCTCACCACAGATAATCTCACCACAGACTAATTCAGTGTAAATTGTTTTCTGGTCACATAAGGAATATCTTCAGTCATACACATGATACAGGAAACTGGTATGTGGGAAATTGGTAATAAAACTTGAGATGACGTAAACATAAAGAACTGGTTTAAGGGGTCTTAATACAGATGGGCCCAGAAGTGGGAAATCGGTTTGAATGGGGGATCCTGCTGAAATTACTCAGATTTTCATCCGTGACATTAGCACCAGAAGTCAGGAGTAGCCCAAGAAAATTAACCAACAACACAAATTTGGGAAGTATCGGCAACGCACACACGGATAAAACTGGTAATCCACAACCCAAGTGGCGCGAAAACCAATCGAACACGCTGGTGTCACAAGGCATTTGGGAACAAATAACAAGCTGCTGCTTCAGGAGTGGGTGTTCAGTAACTGGAAGTAGCAGGGATGAGAAGGACCTTGATATACTCATTAATCATACCCTGTAATTATAAGCTGTCAGTGTGATACAGCCACGGGAAAGGAAAAACAACTCTGAAAGTCCAGCCCAGGTATTGCCAGGAGAGATAAAATCAGCGACTTGCACAAGGTAATGAGGTATTTTGTGTGGTTCTGCTCACTTGCATTCAGGAAAGACTACTTAAAACTGGAACAAATTTACTGAAAAACTTCCAAATAATCAGGAAAGGAAAAAGCTCTGACAGGTAAGAAAGAAGTCAAGAAGTTCAAGTTAAAACAAAAGCTGGAAGGTTTGGCAGGGCGAGCTAGCAGCAGGCTAAACATTAAGGGGCAAAACCAGCTGCTCAGCACTGGTACAAGAACAAATGGATATAAATTTGCTGTGGATAAACTTAGTTCAGAAATAAAGTTGCTACTCAGTTGGCAAAATGTAAGACACAAGAGAGTACATGAAGCGAGTTACGGGGATGGTGTGTCTCCACCGAAGTATTGGGCTTTGTGCTCTAGGAAAGCTTTAATAGGCTTGTTTTCCCGAATGAGAAATTTTAGAGCCCAGTAATTTTTTTATGAGCAATTTGAATTATTCCTTTCATTGTCATGTCTGTGTTAACAGTGATGCCATGTCCTTGGCACCGCTTCGGCTATTTTGTTCTACTCTTTAAAGGTTATTATATCAGATTAGTACCGTACCATCTCAGTCCCACAGTAATGTGTCATCAATGTGAATAATTTCTCATGCACTCATGCTCTATTTCTCATCTTAAGGGCTCCTAAACACCCCGCGGTGCATGGCTGAAACAGCACAAAGTCTCTGCAGCCCTGCAGTCACAAGCTCCTGCTGTATTACCCGTGGCTGTGCACCCTGCAAAGCAGCAGCCCTCCCCAACCAGCTCACAAACAACTGTTTGTAATTTCTGGCAACATCAGTTCCTCATGGGCATCTAACGAAAATTACCTGTCATTCCCTGTGGCAGCAAGTACTGCCCGTCCTGGAGGAACTGAGCAGGCAGGTAACCTGTCACCTACCAGAACCTCTGCTCCTCGCTTCCCACCCTGCAGGAGCTGAGCTGCTGTCAGCAAAAAGTCATGGGACTTCTTCTCGAGCTTCTTTTTCTCTTTTTGAATTCATGTAACTCATCAGTTGCTGTGCCTTTTTGCTAAATGAATAAATAAAACTCTAAGCTTTTGTTAGCCCCACTGAACTCCGCTGTGACACCCGGGAGGAGAGAGGATGGGCACAGCCCACAGTTAGAAAGCAGCGAAGCCTGAAATCCAAGCATCGAAGGCATAAATAAAGCCAGGTCACCATCTGTTGCTCGAGGTTTCAAAGCCTCTCCCTGCTGACCACAGGGCAAACTGCTTTTCCAAATGCTTATGTGTACGCTAGGAACAGCGCTAGTGGGGTGGGATGAAGGATGCACGCCCTCCAGGCACATCTAATGTGGAGTCTGCCTCTTCCTAGGAAGTGATGAATTGTTAATTTATTAACAATTAAAATTAAATTAAAGGCTAAATTGTTGATTAATTAAAATGTTGAACAGTTAGAGCAGCTTCATCACAACCCACTACTTCATCTGCAAGGGCGATCACACTGAAAAAACATCGACACGAGGTGCAGGGTTCTCCAACTCCTGCTGTCCTTAGACCACAAGAGGATGACTTCCCGGATGATGGGCTTCAGCCAGTCAGCAGTAACGCAGCAGTGCAAGGAGGAGCTCATGAAAAAGAAAGAATTATTTTTTCAGGAAAAAAAAAAATCATCAGTGGAAATAAGGATGAAAAATATTTTATCAATATCAAAAAAGACCAGAGAATAAAGTACAAAAGGAATACGACACAAAGTGAAAAATTCACTTCCTACCTTGGTTCCAACTATGGAAAGACATGGAAGTAAGAATCCTTTCCTTACTTTGCTGTCTCATTTCCTCCATTTTACACAGAGAACATGAAGTTTTCCAAAGGTCCATCTGGTGGTGTGGTGAGGCTCCAACATTATCGCCCCTACAACACACAGCAAACACTTGCAGAAGCAGACAGAATCCTGTTATGCAGTGAAAAAACCTGCCTCAAGAAAAACATCCCAGCTATTCACAGAATAATTTAGGTTGGAAAAGACCTCTAAGATCATCTAGTCCAACCTTTAATTGCTCCTAACCGGTTGTAACAAATGGGTGCTCATATTCTAAGGCTGCTGTACCTTCCCGTGCCTGTTTTGTTTCAGCTCTCCATGAGCCTCTTCAGAGCAGGAGTCAGCTGTGATAAGTGCCCTGCAAGAGAGCCATGCAAAGCCTATCTTATTAAACAGACATTTCATCTGTATTTTAACAGACTCTGCTTTCAGTTTAATAATCATCATCTGGTTTGTTTTGTTCGCTGCCAACTTGCAATTAAGAAAAAAAAAATAAATGCACCTCGTAAGTGAAAGAAAAACTGCAGAATCAATTTCTAAATATAGATAAGAAGCACACTCGTGGCTCAAGCAAGGGAATTATCTTGTCACATTAAACAGGAACAAAAAAGAGATTGCTTTTCTCATGAACTCAGCTCCTGCTTTATCTCAGTCGCTGTGCTGGCTGTCAGAAGGGAATACCTGTGAGGTGCAGAGCAGCTTGAGGCACAGGAAACTGCAAGCAACAAACGCTGCTTGCTAAGCCCACAGCTGGAGATACAAATATACAGGGGCTGTAAGGACTTTTTTTGGTACTAGGATGGCTGCTAATGACCAAAAATGTGCATTCATAACTTAAAAAAATAAATTATTACCAAAAAAAAAAAAAAAAGGATTCCAAAATTGTTATTCCAGTTTCTCAGATAGCCCATTCTCAACCTTACCCTTTTACTTACACACATTTTAGACTGGCCTTGGATCTCTTTACAACCATGTACAGCAGAACTTCATGTAAATGGTAAGAAAAGCTGACAGATGATTTAAACTCAGAGCCATCTACCTTTGAACACTTCTGATGGCACGGCACACCAAGAGATTATGCATAAACAGCAGCACAAGCACATGAGAAGAAAGAAAAAAAAAAAAAGGGAAAAAGGAAAATGGGCAAATGAAGGGTGAAGTAGCAGTCTGGTTATGAAAGATATCACCCAAGAGGCCAGCAATAATACTGATACCAAAAAAGAGGGGAAATAGAAGATGTGAAAATGATGGTAGCATTACAAAGTGTAGACCAGTCTCACATGAGCTGTTACAGCATGTAACAAGAGCTATCCACCCCCTGCAGATGAAATATCAACAGTGCAAAGACAAGTTGGACACTGAGGTTGGGTGAATTCTGATGTATAAATGTTTAAATCTATAAATGTGTAAATCTATCTTTTTCTATAAATCTGTAAATCTACAAATGTGTAAATCTGTAATGGTGAAAGAGCAAAAAAAACGTGCTATAGAGGAAATTAAAATCAA